ACTTGCAGCAGTTAAGCATTGCACTGCCTGGGCTTCCAGGGGTAAAAACACTTGATTTTGGTTGTTATAAAGGCTGCTTTTGCCTTTAGCTCTGGCACAGCCACGTCACATCCACCACAAGAGTAGTTTCCTACATCAAGAACATTCCTTTGTCCTCCTCCTGTTTCCCTAGTCCGGTGAGTTTAAAAACTTTGGAGGAAAGACATAGTTTTTCACATTCAGACAAAGTATTTTAGCTCTTTTAGAAGGCAAATTAGTCAAAATTTTGCCCACGCTGTGCAGGGCGTGACCTGGGCCAGTCCCTACGACCGCATCACGGGCAGYGATGAGTGTTCGAGGAAGGCTGCACAGGCCACTTGCTGGATCTTTGAATGCTTGATGTTGTGGCCTTAATGATGCCCTTTGAGCCTTTGCCTTTGCACGAGCGTGGCTCTGCAGTGATCTTTCCCTGGCTATGAGTGGGCATGATCTAACTTCCCTGCTCTGCCTTGCTGCTTTTGCTAATGTTATCTCGCCACGGGCCATGAGGTGAATGCAAGACTAGGCGAGTGCAAGTGGAATCTCTTGTTATCTTATTGTCTGCAGTATATAAATCTTGAAAAGTGTGCTTTGAATGGGAAAGGATACTAACTTAATGATACATTTACTCTAACTACTGCTGGGCACGCACAGAATCCTAACAGGCGCTGCAGCCTCCTCATCACAACAGATGCAGCTCCCTGCTTATAAAGGAAGCTTATTGCATTAGCTGCCTGTAAGCAGTTTACTCTTTAAAAGATTCATAAAGTAAATTAGAGTTATCTAATTATTTGTTGTCTAATTTAATAGAGAGATAACCTCGCTCTTCAGATATTACACATTTATTATTATATTACAAGCCTGCGTGTCAGGGGTTCTGCTGAGCTGCAAAGAGCTACTGAATATCAACAGCAACTGCTGCTCACATACAGACACAGCCAAAGGTGTCTGGAATAGAGAATTCATTGGAATAGGATGCTCATTTTTATACATACATGCACATACATAATACATATATGTATTAAGTACAGCACCATGGAAGTGATTGCAGCTGTCAGTCATCTTCCCCTTGAAGCTGTATCACATCGTGCATAAAACTCCTTTCTCCTGGGGCCTCCGAGAGAGATCCTGCCTCATAGATGATGCACGTGGGGTCTGGAGCTCTTCCTGAAGCACAGCATGTGTGTGATTGTCTTTGCTGCCTTATTTCACTTTTCCCAGTGCTTTGGATGGAGGCACCATACGGCTTTCAGGTGCAGGGTGGATCTGTATGYGCTCTGCTATCGCTAGGACACAGCCATGGGATTTATTGGCATCTAGTGGWGGAGCATCCCAGGAAACATCTTTTGTGCTTATGTTGGTGCAGTCTTTGTTTGCATGCTCAACATCATAAACAGCACCTTTTATCACTAGAACACTGCAGAACACTGCAACACACAAGGAGAAAAAAAAAGGATACAAAAAAGGATACAAAAAAATGGCAAAATTATAACCATGGGAGGTTTGTACTGAAAAAGTAGAAGTGTCTTTGGAGCAGAATTAGGTGATGCTGAAGGCTTCCCCTTTGCTGCTGTTGTGCTCAGCAGGGACTTGCAGCTGAGCCCCGCAGATACGTGTGGTGGGAGCTGTGGAAACGCTGCGCCGAGGTGGCCCGGCTTGAATGCAGCCAGAAACACAAATCCCACATCCACAGGAGCCCCTGTGGCGCTGGCTGTCCACGCACCCTGTTGGTGACGATAACTGCTTAATATTTCACTCATATATTCCGCTGGGTTCATTTAAACAGCAGCTTCTCTAAGCACAGCAGAAGGAAGTAAAATGATAAATTAAGCTAGGTCAAAGAGGAGAAATTATTTTAAATGAATCCCAACATCTAATTTGTCTGGACTTCTAATGAATTGAAAAGCCAAAGTTGCCGGAGATGACAGTATTGTAAATCCTGCTTATCTTGGCCAGAATCTCCTTATTTCTTCCCACGCTCATCCATCAAGCCAAAGCAAAAACAGGAGCCAGGAGTCCAGGTTTTCCACCCTATGGTACTCATGGGACACCCCCAAACTGGGGTGATGGGACCTGGGACTGGCTGACCAGTTGGTGCATCCTCTGAACCGCTTTTCCATGAATCCCTAATGTTTCCTTTCCCTTGTTTGTGGCTCGGGAGCTGCTGCAAGCCTGACTCCCCATTGCACATGCCCAGCAGAGCTCCAAGAGGCTGGGATGGGAGCAAGTCCCGTGGGATGGGAGCGAGTCCCGTGCGCCCGGAGTGCCTGTCACCCATAGCTCCAAATGGGATGGGGCGCCTTGGACCAGAGCTCCATTCCCATGGCAATGAAGCATCCCCATGGGCAGGAACGAAGCCACTGGAGACTGGCTTATTAATAGCATTAAGGATCATCATAAGGGAAGCAGGCAGAAATAGTCTTYTGCTGGTTCTCCCCTCCACAGATGAATTTCCTAACCCAACACCTAAAACATTGCCAAATCCAGTATTTCCACTGAGTACTCCCTGCTCAGAGAATTTTGGTTGAATTTGGCCTCAGGAAAACAAACACATAAGGGAAAACAAGGTGGTTTAACCACGTTGCCATTGCTCGCTTTTCATCATTCACTGACATATCTGCTCAGTTCCAGCTTGGCCAGTCCAGGCCGAGCCCGCGTCTACCACGCAGAGGAATAAATAAGCCAGAATAAATAAGCTCAGCCCAGCGACAGGGGGGAACTTCAGTGGTTCTTCAGCGGGCTCTTGTCCTTCGCCACGCGGGTCTAATGCAAAGCACAACCTCCGGCAGGAGCTGCCGCACTTAATGCTGTTGACAAGCCAGGATGTCCTTCAGCGCAGCCTGCATGTCTTAATTAAATGGAATTTGTTTCTGCAAATAATGCTTGTCAGAAGTGTTTTATTTTTTTTTTCTTTTCTTTTCTCTGCCGTAGGACTGTTATGAAGATGCTACTCGACATGCTGATAATCAGCCATCTGTGTTGCGGGGTTACAGCAGCGCCGCGCGAACGCCAACTGATTTTGTTTTTTCCTAGAACGAAATTGAAATTATAAATTTAACACGCAGAAATAGTAGGCTAATTGTAACTAGCAAAATGTAGCACTGAGCACCCTGTGCACGGGGGAAGCAGGCAGCAGTGTGGTCCAACCACTGCTGTCGTCTCATAGGGCTGCCAGGAGCCCTCCTCGGGCTCCAGCGTTAGGGGTGAGAAAAAATGAGGGTTTGGGGATGTACAGGGAGTCGTTATTATCTTCTCCTTTCATCCTCTTTTTCTTTCTTCTTCTTCCTATTATTATTATTATTATTATTATTATTATTATTAACGTACCTGTCAAATCCTTGTCAAAGGTCCCCGTGGTTTCTCACCAGCTTTTGTGGGGTCGTTTTGAGCCATTCCTTATGTTTTGTCACCACAGCCAGTGCAGGATCCCTGCTATGGAGATCTCCCTTGCAAAGGCTGTAGTAGTGGTGGGATCCAGGCTGGAAAGGCCCTTGAAGCCCATGGGAGAAGAGGAAGGCCCCGAGCTGCGTCCCCGTGGCGGGACAGCCCGTGTCCCGGCAGCACGGAGCCACTCGTGCCCTCTGCCTTGCTCCAGTCCCGCTGCGCCTGCTTTTTTCAGGCACCTGGCAATGCAGGTTAAGGGACACCGGGAAGCCCGGGATGAAGGGGCATCTCCCAGGGGCTAATGTGATCGAAACATAAAGCTCTACCAAAAGAGACGGACTTTTGTCTATTAAAGTGCAAAYTAACTGCTAGCACCTTGTCCTCTGAGCACCCCTCATACCCCTCCATGATTTAGGTCTCTGCAAATGTGCTTGCAGTGAGTGTTCTTCAGCCCTGTGTCTCACACAGTGCGTTTGCATGAACTATTGTTTAAAACTATATGTTTATGACAAGTACATGCAATATTTTTTTCATCTGCTGCCTCAGGGAAAGAAGAAGCAATTGTGCTTCCATGWGGATACTGCAGGACAGCTCCACGCCAGCGCTCGGCACGTATTTGTGACCCATCMATAGTCTTAAAGAAATTGTCTCGGGCTCTATGTACACATAAGGTTGAAACCCAACTCCAAATACAAACAAATAGGGAGTAAATAAATAAATATAAATAAATACACATTGGGCTAGCTGATGGGGTGACCCCCTAAGGATGGCTTGGCTGCCTGGGAGTCCTTGTGCTCCCATCAGAGGTGGGTGTTCCCACCAACGGCCAGTGGGATGAGATGCTCAAGGGTTTAATTAACCAAACCCACAGGCCATGGCAATGGGCAGGGAAGCAGCAGGGACCTTTTTTTTCCGGCTTTAAAATCCATACTGGGAACCAGTTAGCAATGTTTTTGTTCTGTCTTGCTGACCTGCGAGTATTTGGCAATCCCAACCCATCCATTCCCACACGGGAATTAACCCACACGGGTACCTGCCTCTGATCTTGGCACTAGAATGGCATCATCAACCGGGGACGATTCATCCAGTGATCCTAGTGTCACGACTCCCAGCTGATAAATGAACATTACAGGATGCCTAAATGCTCATTAATTCAACTGCAATTAATTTCGATTAATCACCGTGATTAGTAGTTTATTAGGTAGGAATTAATTGTGAACTGGTGGAGCACAGCTGGGGAGTGGGAAGGAACTCTGGCTGTGGAAATGGTGCATCCTTGCCAGGGGGGGCTGGAGGGCAAAAACAAGCATTTTCTGAGTACGGACAAAATTTGTGTCATCAAAAAAAGAACTCAAGAGTAACAAATGTGCAGCACTTTAATGTCAGATTTGACCGTCATTGSAACTGTTCACAAGGAGTGTGGACAATCTAAGTCGTACTTCATTTTCTAAGTATGATCTATAACCGTTAGGCTAATTTAGAAAACACATCACCAGAACCCGGGCGGGAGGGGACAGAGGGAACATCTTTGGAAGGTCGAAGGGGGAGGTTTCAAGTGACCGCGATCCCAAGAGTTTGCAACAAACGGGAAGAAGTGAGGTCTGTTACACATCGTTCACAGTCTATATATAAACCAGCCTCAAGAATATTGACCTGAACAGATATTTACATTTTTTTTAAATAGTCTTAAAAAAGTAATATTTGCTTGATCTATGACACAATGAACATCTCTACAGGGAAACTTACCATAGGCATAATAAAATATTCAAGAAGTCATAAAAGAGAACACGAACGCAGTGTTTGGCCTCAGTAAAACACATATAGGACAATGGCAATGGATGGATACAACTTTGTTCCAGAAAGGAGTTGTGCATATTTAAAGGTACTTACAAAGCTGGTCTCCTCCTTTCCTTGACACGTGGATGTTGCCTAACGGGATGAGTACAAAATCATGGACATCATGCATCGCTACAGGAAGGCTGTGCCAAGCTCTATGGGTCTGTGTTTCAATGATGGGATAGTCTCTCCTAACCCCTATGGCTCTTAAGAGAAAAACATACGTAGGGCTCAGCCTGTGGGTGCGTATGGACCAGGTAAAGGATTCCAGGTTCAATGAATTCATAGGATTCATCTCCTCTTTGTCTGTCTGAGCAGATTTCCATATATTCTTTATAGAACTGAGATGGTGGAACCCGCTCCAGGTCTACAGCTGTCCTAAAGCCCTACCTCCTTGGTAGAAGTTCACCCTTTAAAGAAGGATGAGCAGTGCTAGGCTGCATCCTTCTCCTTCGCAAGCCTTCTGCGTGTAGAGAAAAGGGACACATCCAAGCACGGTGTCACAGAGCACAAATGGCACCACAAGGACCCCGGGGAGGTCCAGGAGCTGCTTTCCCACCAACTGTGGACCACGAGGTCAGACCCAAAACCAGCTGCGGTTGTGCAAAGGCCAATGCAGCAGGCGCTGCCTTCAGGGAGACCTTTCCATAGAGACCACCATGAGGGTGGCTGCATCCTCAAAGCAGAGTGTGGGCAAGGGGCGCTCAGAGACAACGTGGAAAATCCACCCTCTTGCCCTCATTCCTCCACCGTGAGGACGACACAGAGCTGTGAAACAGAACTGGAAATGTTTTTACAGCTTTTCAAAAGATGTGCCAAAATGGATCTGCATTTTTATGGGAAAATCAGCCGGAGTTTCCAGGCCAGCTGTTGCATTCACAGGTGGTTTAGCTGGTTTTACATGAATCTCTTTGCTCGCAGCTAAAAGATAATTGACTATAAGCATGTGTACTCTAAATGAGAAGAAAAAAGAATACAAAGAGAAATGKTTTCCCAGAATGTCTGAAAAGAAACAGGCAAATTAAGGCTGTGACTAGACAACGTGTGCAAGTTTTCTAGTAAAACTCTACTCCTGTAGTTGGAGCCATTATTTCTGAAGGACCAGGTGGCTTCAGTGCTAGTAAATATTTAAGGAGAGGAACTAACAATTTGTAGAAGTGCTGCTGCCTCCACGGGGCACATCCACAGCCTGCCGAAGGGCAGGTCCCGCAGGCTGTGCCCAAGCCGGCCACAAGCTGCTCAAAGACTAATGCCCCACTCACTTTTCAATTAAACTTCTTAAAAGCTTTGGCCCTCACAGTGTTTCTCAGCTTTAATGCACCCTAACGTCCCTAACTCAAGCCCAGTTTCCCAATTACAACCCTACAAATAGGCAGGAGGAGAGGTGGGGCTCTCCTCGCTTTGCTTTCAGTAGCATCAGGAGCAAAATGAAGAGCAGAAGAAAGCGAGCAGACAGCTACGCCTGCTTCCCAGATCACCCCTGGGGATCCCGCCACAGCCAGCCCGCAGAGGAAACTTYCCATTAAACCTCCCTATCACATTTCCGTGACTTGCAAACTGCTCTCCAGGATGCTTCGTTCCCCCCAACGGGGGGTTTCGCTGCAGTCTTTGCTTCCATGGTCTCCCTGCATCTGGAACCCGGCAATAGGGAAAGAAAACCAATGGCTTGAACGTAACATGAGAACTCATCGAGACAGAAACTCAAAAGCTGTTTTGTTCTACAGAATCGCTAGGTTTCGTGGCTTATACAATATCTCAGTGGAGATATCATTTGCTTCCCCGCATTTTTCTCATCACCGCAAATCAGAACACCCCCAAATAAGAAATATCCCTTCAAAAACCACTTCCTATCAGCAGAGCGTACCTTGTATTGTAAAACTTGCAAGTAGACCAGTGTTGTACCATGAAGCCTATACAGGATTTTTTTGTTTTTTCTTTTTTTTTCCCCCAGTGTAAAAATATACAATGCTACTGCTCATTTGTTGCAGTGTAAAGGTCCAACCGGTACTTGCCTGCTGCAGGTGCTACTCCTTCTGCCCCTTCATACTTCTCCAACCCAGATCACTGTGTTACCCCTCCTTATACCTGAAACCTCACAGCGTAACGTGTTTTGTCTCCCATTAATAACAAACAGTGACTCTTTAGCTGGTGTAATGAGATACTGTCCAAACAACCCACTGTCCTTCACAATTCTGTTGTAGCTGCTCCAGGGCCAGTCTTTGGATGTGATAGGGTCCTTTAAATTCTTCAGTACGTTCATTTTGCCTGTTGACAGCTCTACAAAAAGCACATCTGTTTGCAAATGTGAAGTAGCATATATATAGTACTGATTGCCTTCGGTGAAGGAGGGTTGAAATGTCAGATCAGATACGCGTACGTTTGTTTGTAAGTCGTAAATCAACTTGATTTCCCCTCGGACAGTTATAGTCTGAACTGTGATCCTACCGCTGTCTTCATCGGCGCTGACCAAATAGCGGCCGTCCGGTGAGATATGAGGTGTGCCCGAGACGTGGCCGTTGGGGCCGATGACGGCGTCGGTGACGCTGTCGATGACGAGCTGGGCCAGCGCRGACGTGCGCCGGTGGCACTGCACGAAGAAGTAGCCCCCCAGGTGGGTGTAAGCCATGGCCCGCGGCACGCAGCCGGAGCCGCCCAGGTCCAGGGTCTTGAGGTGGGTCACGGTTTCCAGGTCGATCTTGTGAATCGTGGATTTCGATTTGGGAAAGAGGAAGCCAAACCTGAAATGGAAAACACGACACTGAGGCTACCTGATGAGGCTCGCGAAAAGAGAGAAGCTGGCAGGAGCAGCAGGCTCCATCCTGCTCGTTTTGTGCACATGTGGGAAGACCTTCTTAAAAGGGCTAAAAGGAGGTCTCTATTTCAGTTAAAATTAGCAAATTGATCCTGCCGCTTGAGTATGTGCTTGGGTATTGGAATAACCAGAAGTCATTTTGTAGTGGGAAGACCAGGTTACAACAGAAATTCCACCAGGGCTTGGGTTTGTGGTACGCTACTGTTGACTGAAGCTGCACTGGATCTGTTTCCTTTTTAAAGAGGTATAATTCAACATACATTCAAGACATTTTCAATCTGGGAATAGAAAATTATTCAAAATAAAGCATATCTGTGCCAGGTTAAGGGAGGTACACAGCAACTTCARGCTGCATACATAATCTGTGACTGAAGACCAACACGTCCAACCTCCTCTCCTACCAGAGGGTCTCTGGGCCAGCTCTCATTTTGCTGCTCGTGGGAACTGAGGGCTGTTATCATCACCGGGTACTCCATAGGGCTTGCTCATCCTGCCCCACCAGCCCCAGAGACACACGTGTCTCCAGAGGAACAGGACCCGCACTGAAGGCAAGGGACCTTTCCTTTCTGCCTCGAAAGCGGCCAAGCAACAGTGGGCAGAGAATAACTGTTCGGTAAAAGGTACATGCTGCAGCACATCTGACCTTTACTGAACACACGGAAAGGTCAAGAGCAGCCAAGAAATGCTTCTATTTAATTTGAAAGAGAGCCCRTAGAAACAGCCCGCTGGTGTTCCCCGGGATTCACAGGTCACCGACACTAACTTCTGAAAAGCAATTTTAYGTTGACTATCTGCTCATCCATTCATTGCAAAGAGAAGGAAATGAAGCCAGTGTTTCGTTTTGCAGCTCTTCCCTGGAAGATGCAAAATTGCTTTATGAAATGTGGAGGACAATGTGCTTGCATGCAGACGGTATAGATATTTTGCTTAAAACAATGGGTTTATTTCTTTATTCTTAATCCATCTGTCAATGAGACACTCAATGATTTCACTTCTAAAGAACAAGCCACTGTAGTGTATGATCCCATGAAAATCACTGGGCTAAGCCTTTTATTTTCCCATTATACTCGCATCCATTAGAGACTTCACAAAATCTCCGCAGTGGAGATTTGTAGTGCACTGTGTGAAGGGAAATTGGATATGACACTTGTATTTCTCCTGGATGAATGCATTTTAAGTACACTTTAAAAACTGCTTTCCCTTACAGCATTTTTTTTCAAGACTTCCTTAATACGAGGCCAAGTGCCTGAACAAGTTAAAAAACACGCTCTTACCGTAAACTTAAAAAAAAATAAGTGGGTCAGGTGTATTATGTGCACGCAGCTGCAGAGAGGTGCAATGCTCACACGGAATCTCTGTCTGCAACCTCAACGAAAACCTCGCGCTTAGAGAGGTTTTAATAGACAACAATCTACCCTGGGAACTAATAAAAATGGATGCCTTTCTAGATATCCATCTGATATAACAGGTAGCTGGAATACGTAGGCAGGAGCATTTGCATACAAATGTTTTTTTTTGGCTCTGGGAAGGTATTTGCTTAAATATTCACCTGCTTCCTGTGAAACCAGGGAAATGCTGGTATCACCATTTATTGTTTCTGAGTGAAGGATTTAGAACATGATCTCAGAAAGTCTCATTAGACTGTGAGCAATTATTTTCCTATGCTGAGGGTGAGATAGAACTGACAAAGATCTGGCCCCGAACAAATGAAAAAGGAAATTAGGCTCAGCATTCACTATTTTGCACATGGAAAACTACAGACAATTATCTACATTTAATATTCCTCAGGGAAGATCACCTGTATACAGCCGATTAATCATATTGAAGCAAAAGGTAATAAAAGAATGACAAAAAAAATTCAATTGCTCTACCTTCCTGTCTTTGAACCTGGCTCATCCGTCCTCATCTTAGGGTTTAGCATTCAGCACAGTCGTCTATTACCTAGCCTGACTATTACTCATAACAGTATTTTGAAAGCTCACTGGAAAAATGAAGTTGGGAAAAATTAGGAATGACAGCCATGGAGTGTGGCTCATTATTTTGTGTTTCAGGAAGCAGAATTATTTCTTTTGGATCAAATTCCTCTCCTAATCATTTAAGCACTACCCCTTGTCCCGGGTGTTCACTGTAGAGAACCTATGCTTGATGTTGGAAGGTCCAGATGCGATTCTTGGAGTGTTAAACTAACTTATCTAAACTAGCATGTACCGGTGGCAGATGATTAAAAGGTTGTTACGCTATAACATGGTAAGAACAGTATAAATTGCTGTGTAGTTACCATCAATTTTGATAATGTTAATGGGAGGCTCTTTGTTTCTGCTGGGGAGCAGTCACTATTACTCTGAGTTATTAGCGTGGCAGTTAGATGATCTCATTAACTCCCACATCGCATTAGCCTTCAAGACCGATGGTTCAACGTGCTGACATTTTTTTGCTGTGTGYACACCATTTTCCTGCTTGAACCTTCCCTCTCACACAGAGGGCCAACACTTGAACAAGTAAAGGGTTGGGGCCATGCAGGAGAACCCCACTTTATGCTTCCAATGGAAGAATCTTCTACCACTTAGGCAATAAATCTGCGATAGAGGTTTCTGTCCAGGCCCAAAATGTGGGTTTTGYGGCAAAGAAGCCCGATTTCCAGCCCTTCCAATTCATTCCATGGGTGTCCCCAGTGGTGCTTCACCCGTGCTGGGGCTAGACAGCAGTAGCAATACTTGGCTGGCCCCCCTGCTCGTTCATTAACATTTGTAAAGGTCCTTAGGATTATGCATGAGAAAACCRCAATATGACCACGGCTGCTACTCATCCATACCATTGCTTACCTGATGTGATTAATAATGAGATTTGTGGGGGGTATAAAAAAGTCGTCCACTCCTTCAAACGGTGTGCGGACAACGCGCTGCTCCTCGCCGCCGCTTGCCTCCGGTATTACCTGCAATGAACAAGCACAAAGTCGAGCACGGCGGGAACACAGTAAGGTAAATACAGGTTACCTAACAGGAGCCGAGCCATCTTCCCAAGACGGAGCAGATTCCAACTGATTAATGACTTCAAACCATCGGTTCGTTTGGCTGGGCCTTGGAGAAGGTGCACAAAAAATACTGCATGCGGCTCAGCGCGCGCCAGGCAAGCACGGCGGGGACAGCACGAAAGCCACCCTAATTTATTCCTCACTGTCTCAAATAAACATTTATTTTGTGGTCATATTTATTAATCTCACTTAAGTGCACAGCAGTAATTCACCAGCCAGGAGGCTGAGCACGACGCCGCAGCCGTTAATTATCCCCCTGAAGGAGAAGGACCACTTGCCCATCACCAGCACCGGATAAGATCCATGCGGAGCAGGAAGGGCACTCGGCTCCCTGCCCTCTGCACAGGCCCTGGAAACCCAGCTCTGCCAGCCCTGCACAGCTCCAGCAAAAGCAGAGGGGAGTTTTCCTCAATAATTAAGATGTTAAAGACTGCAGTGGTTTGCAGGGACCTGCACGTGTCCATGGGGCTCGCTCGGTGAGCGTGACATGCACCAGCGGCTGCTGGGCTTTGCAGCCACATTCACTCCTTGCAGGAAAGGATGTTCTGCTTATTCCGGTTTCTTCCAATTCAAATTGTCCAAGGAAGATGCCTGTCCTTGCACAGCACCTTCCTGGAGCCAAGGACAGGGCTGAACATCAGTGACCGAGCTCTCAGCACCAGCCCCCTCTGCCCAATAAATCCCCATTTCCTAAAGAGCAGGTGGAAACGCTCAGCACACCCATGGCAGGGTTTGCAGGGGAGGTGAACCTGYGGTGTGCATTTCAACAGCCACCGCCTTGCACCAGCTCTCTGTTACTTACGGAAACCTCTCACAGATGGGTGGGAAATTAAGTGGGAATTGGTAAAGGGAGCCTGTTTTGCCTCCTTGTATCCACCCCAGAAAYGCTGTGAGCTGCCTATGCTGCCTCCAAAACTTCTATCTGCTTTGTTAGCATTAAATTAAATAACTATATACATTATTAGCATTAAATTAAATACCTATAAATATTAATTAAATATTTAACCTCAGGAAGTGCAGGCTTTAAGGTGAGGAAGCCTGCGTGGCTCAGCGCAGCCGTCCTTCAGAGCCCCGCCAGGGAGCACGTCGATACGCCGCCGGCAGCAAATCTTTACGGCAAATATTCACAGGTCTTACTGGGGTCCAAAATAGCAGCAAACACCAGAGAGTCGCTGGCACAGACGGGTATTTCTGCATGGATGAGGACAGCTCTGCTTTCTCAGCAGCAGCAAAATGTCCAATTAGAGGCTTAAACCAGGCGGCTGGCGAGTCCGTGGTGCCAACAGCAGCGAATCCCGCAGGACAACGTGGAGCAGGGAGTTAATTTCGATGTCTGAAGGCAGGCGCGGGGCAGTGCCCCAGGGAGCCGCTCTCCTTGCCCGTCTGAGCAGCATCGAGCGCAGGGAGCCCCCAAGCACCGGCCCAGGAAGTGCCATGGATGCCCGACAGGCAGCTTGTCCTTGAGGTCTTGTTGTTGCTGTTTATGCTCCTTTCATGTCCTTGAGAGATTATCTTTTATTTGGGATGCGAAGTGAGACTTGCACGATACTTGCAATTATTTCTCTTTTTGACTTTAACACAGCTTTTCCAGAAGTGGTGGGTGAACYACCTTCTTCGGCGCTCAAAATTGGCATTTTCCTCTGAAAGGAGGAATTCTCCTGCACGATTCTCCAGGGGTGTCCCCAAAGGAGGACAAGGATTTTTGGGAGACAAGTGACAAAATGGGCAGAGTAGAAGCCAAACATGAAGCAACCCTTAGCAGAGAACCAGCCGTCTCCTGTGTGCACCTGCCTGGTGGGTGCCAGGCTATTGATCCAAAGCGAGACGGGAAACATGAGCAGGGCCAATGCACTCACCTTTTCGTGCTGCTCTTTATGGATAATGCCACCGAACTCTTTGCACATGGAAGAACTGTGGGTCATCGTAAGGTTCAAGTGAACACAAACTTGGGTCTTATCTCACCACGAGTGCATTTTTGGTGAGGCCAACTGGAGCTGCTGATGAGACACCAGCAGCAGGAGCAGAGCGGCTCATTTCTGCACAGTGAGGATGCTCCCTGCAGCCTGGCAGTGCCCTCTGCTTTAGACCCCTTGGTTTCACGTGGGCTGCACAAAATGCACAAACGCAGCTGGTTGCCGGCCCTTGCCCTGCAGCCCTATGGCCTTGGGCTCTCTCATCAGCCTTAAAACAAACYAGACCATGGCAAGAGCACTGTCCTGCTGCCATCCTGCAGCACACGCATTGCTCAACAACAAATTAAACAGCAGGAAAAATATAGGAGGATGGACAGGTGAGGGATGAATAGAACACCCTCAACAGGCTAATTAAAGAACAGCTTTATATCCAGATCAATAAAGGCTGTTGATTACTTGAAATCAGCCCACCACCAGTTTGCTACCTGCAATGCCAAGTACATAAAGGGTAAAATGCCCGGGCACCTGGGGACTTACCTGCAGTGTTGGCGAGGACTTCTGCATATCTCCCCAGCTAAGCACCCACACTTGGTCGTGGGACTTGTCATAATGCAGTTTGGCTGGTAACGGGTCAACATCCAAGGACTTAAAAAAAAAAAAAAAGAAAAAAAGAAAAAAAAAAGCATTTTCTGAGTGACCTGGCTGTCACATACGAGCGTGATGAATACGAATTGACTGCAGCCGTTCCCAGGTATCACTACTGCACCCAGCTTTGCACAATCAGCTCCAGATCAGCTGGGGCAGCACCAGCAATAGGGAATCGAGCTGCTGGCCTCGCTCTTCTGCGCAGACATCACTCCAGTACACCCTGTTACTTATGGCCAGTAGATCAGGGGCCCATTTCTGCTTGAATTACACCTGCAGAAGCCCATTCTTCCCAACCCGCTTACAACTGAGGTCAGGCTGTGGCTCAGCGAGCGTAAGTCAGAAATTTGTTCTTGTGTTGTTTTATCAAGATAGCTGCCAGCCTGGCTGCAGGCGCATTCCCGAGACTACAATAATCAGCCCGGAAAGGAGATTTTTTTGGACAGCGAGGTTACAGAATAGCAAATGACACAGTGCTGCTTTGCGGGTGGAAACAACCCAGCTTAAGAGCGAGGTCAGCAGATTTGCTGGGCAAAAAGCTACTTTATTTTCCCCGTATCAAAGCCTTTTGCCATCCCTGAATAAAGAGCTTCCCCGGCAGGTACCTGCACRGCTTTCTGCGACTGGGTATCAATGATCACTACTCTGTTCTGCCTCGGCTGTGCTGCATAGATGTACTTGTCTCTGACGTTCACTGCAGAGGCCCAGAGGCAGGACTGAGCATCCTCCCCTTCACCTCTGGGGCAGATCTCTTCCTGAGGAGGGGAAAAAGCAAAAGGAGAAGCTGTTTAATTACTGCAAGTCAGGGCTTGGAGCAGCAAGAAGTTTACTCTCGAAAACCACAGGAAAAATTCCACAGCAATTTTATTAGGATGACTTTTTTTTTCCTCCTTTTTCCTAGAAAATATGAAAGAATATTTTTTTAGGTGCCACACCGCAGCCTGGCTCGACCTAGTGACATTAAACAGCTGAACGTGCTGCAGACTTGCATTGAATTTAAGTAAGCCCACAGGCTATGGAGCTGCTTTTGAAGCATGCCCTGGAATGGCAAGACCTGCAGTGCTGTTAGTGTATATTAGCAAGAGAAATATAACTCTGTGCTTTGAAAATACAGTGATTTACATTGTTTGAATTACAGCTTTACAGTTTTCCTAAGACTCTTGATCATATTTGGTCCAGAAAAGCTTTCTTCAGGGTTCTTGTGCCCTAGGAAAGGGCAGTAGGGCCCTACAGCCTCTTACTGTAACACAGGGACAAAAGGAACAGCATCTTTGRGGCAAAATCCTGCCTACAGCTGCCTGATGCCAACTTTTGTGTCTGATGCTTCACTGCTGAATCCCATACAAGCCTGGGATGAGCCTCAGCAATACCCTGGGACCCTGAGGACCTGGAGCACTTTAAAGAAGAGCATCACCTCCCCATGGTAAATGCATCTGCAGAGGTTTTGAGGGCAAAGGCCCCCGTGATGTCTGCAAGAACCTCTCAGAGGTGTCTCAGAAAGGCAGACAGGTAATGAGAGCAAGGCCCTCCTCTCTTTCCGTGCCCTTTCTCCYGTGCTTTTTCCTGAACCACCTCGGCAGTATTTACCCCTCTTTGGAATTGAGCCACGAGGCGCCTGTCCCGGAGGAGCGACGGTGCAAAGAGGGTTTAATAATAAATCCGTGGCAAGCGCTAACCTCGGGGTGAGCAGCGTAAGCTGGATTTCCARTAAGATATATTAAAATACTCCCACGGGGGAAAGAACGTTAACCGTGAATTTATTGAGATTTATAGAGCACAGAGTCACTGAGGGATCCTTGCCCATGGTGCGGGGGCYTGAGGTTTGGGAAACCACCGCCCTTCATTCCCGCATTCCCTGGGGTGCTTGCAGATGGACCCATGGAAAAATGGGTCCATCTGCAAGTGAAAAATGGAAAAAATGGAAATCTCTGCATATGTTTCGCCCTCATAACGGCAGTCAAATTCCCCGTGGGATGTTAATAGTCCTCCTCAGCAGGTCTGTAACATGTGCAGTTCTCTTAGGTTCCAAGAAGAGGACCCTCAGCAGTGCAGTGTGAAGGTCACTAAACTCCAGTGACTATAGCAAAAAGTTTCCTGTGATAGAAGCAACCTGTGGGCAGACGAGGACAAAGTCTCCCTGTGGCTGGTGGCATCTCCAGGGTATGGACTAGGGCTGGTCTGACAGCTGAGAAGAGCTGGACCTGGCAGCACTCACCTTATGGCATCATCTGGAGACTAAGGAGCCTAAAATCCAGCAATGCCAGAGCTCTGTGGTCAGCTGGGAACATCCCTCTGCTCCCGGCCTAATTGTGACCAGGACACATCACAAGGACGTGACCTGGCAGCAGGGATGAGCAAGCCCTGGCAAGGGAAAGTTGGGACTCTCTCCGTTTCTGTATCTGCATCTCCCGAGCATTCACAAAGTCTCTGCTGGACACTTGCTCAAGGGAAACGTTCCTCTTTAGGGTTTTTGCAGGACCACCTTTACACGAAGACAGATGACAAATGACACGAACACGGCAGGGCGCAGGACTTACGTAACTGGTGAAAATCCTCTCATCCGGCCGGATGTGCCTCYGGATCTCACATTCATTGGGCTGCAGGACCGTGATCCCATCGTCGGAGAAGACGTAGAAGACGTTCCCAACGCTGAGGCCTTGAAAAGGCAAGACGAGGAGGATTTTTTTGCACGCGTCTCGAATGGTTTGGGTGTTTTTAAAGAGTAATTGCCCCTCTGCCCCCAACGAACAAGATCTGCCTTACATAGAAGTTGGTCGTTTGGATGCAGTTGGTGCATTCACAAAATCAAGTTTCATGTAACAACAAGGGCTTCGAGGAGTGAGGAGGTACAGACAGGTTCAAAAATGCATCGCCTTGGTGGCAGCAGCTGCGCACAAGCAAACAGCTCCTGGTCTTGTGCATGAGGACCATGCCCATAGGTGAATAAAAGAAGCCCCTATATGATATGCGAACTCCTCACTTTACAGCTTTTTAGAGCTTTTTCTTCCCCTCTATGATTTCATTAAAAATAGTTAGCTAATCATTTGAGAAGTGAGAGACAAGCTTTAGCTAAAATTAATCTGAAAGCTGTTCCATTAAAATTAATCTGACTTTTTTTGGAACTGGAAGTAAAAAAGTAAAATGTGTTCCATTAATGAAAGTTTATTTATTTCCTAAACCATCAGATGGAGTAAGCAGAGCCACCAAAACAAACGCATTTTTGAAATTTTGCAAACTGTAATTCACAAAYGTGGAATATCTCAGCATCGCAACAGCACTCATTGATCCAACTGGGGCATTCCAGGAGATTTGGAAACCTGCCTGTCGCTGCGGTGCTCCCAGGAGATCGCATTGTCCCACTTCTGCCCAGCAGAAACGCCTCCCAACACCGTGAATTTAGCTCTTCTTCAGCTGCATGCAAATGTGGCAATGGAGGATCTTGAGGAAATGGTGAGGATCTTTTCCCAGTGCTCCGGCTGGGAAGATCCAAGCGTGCCTTATTTGTTTTTCACATTGTCCCACCAGTGAATGCTTGCAAGGACCCTGGTCACGCCGGGTCCTGGCACGGGGTATGTGTCAGTGCTCCGTGGTGAGGCCCGAACGTGGAATTAGGGACCTGCTGCCCCTGGAAATCCGCGTTCCCTGGGGCAAGGGCACCGATCAGGCTCGGACCCGCTGAGCTTGTGCCAGCGGTGGCAGGATTAAGGCCTAAATCATCCCAGCAAAGCTTTAAGGCACAAAAAAGTACAATTTGATAAATGCCTTTTTGGAAAATTTCATAAAAAGAATATTTTAGTGAGACATTTGTCTTGAGTTTTTTAGTTTTTTGGACTAGAAAAAAAACCAAAAACCAAAACCCACCCCTTTTCTCGTGCCAGAGAGGTGGCTGGAGCGCAGCTTGTCAGCMAGAGCTGTGGGTTGTGCTGACAACGTTCAGGTCGGGTCTCTCTCAACCATACCCCGAAATACCCCAGTTAGGGCATCAGGCGGAGACAGGAGCTGCGATCCTGGATGCGATGCCACGGTGAGGGATCATGCACGGAGCAAAACCTACCCAACTCCCACTCGGAACTACACGCTTCCTGCCTCTGCCCTAACTTTTCCAAAATGTTGTGTCAAAACATCACACCTGGGCAGAATGGACCAAAATCCACGTTGTTTACCAATTTCCCTACCAATTTCCCGGTATATGTTCAGCTCTCTCCCTCCTCTGGGGGAATTGAGGATACAGAGCAGAGAGCAGAAGTTGACCCTGCCTGGAATGAGTGCACATATTTTCCTAAGGATAAAGTTTCTTAATCCTAGGCAATAAAACCAGGCAGGCAATACGTTCTGACAGTTGTGAAGCTGCTCAGTAATATTTTCATGCATGAGAGCAGTGCGATTTTATCTGATGAGCTGATTACAATATGAGCGCACATTTCAGAATTTAGTTGTCCTTGATCTTAATTAATCACTAAAACACTTTAGTAATGATTTCACCTCTGGAGAGTTACAGCGAGTGACTGGGCAAGTTACGCTGCTTCTTTTACAGTAGAAATGGTGCCGACGAGTTAAAATAAGGCAGGAAGCCCTAGTAGTACTCATATATTGAAGATGCCCTCTTTTTAATGTATTAAATTAAAATGCTCTTGCAGTCTGTAATTTTTTTCATTATTTTTTAAACAAAGCGGGTTTTTCACTAGTTAAGCTAGCAGTTACACAGGCCACCAGCCAGCGGTGGTATTTACAGTTTTTACAAGGCAAGCAGGGAGTAGTTCAGGGCAGGGTGACTAACAGACCGGGTTTTTCTTTTTTCTCCTCTCCTTTGTAATTAGGGACATTTTGGGATAGATGGTTCAGCTACTTCAAAACAAACAAGCCCCACACTTTATGAAATACATGCTTAAGAATAAAAATAATGCATGGAGAGGCCTTCTGAACATAAGAACTCTTTATTCTAACCATTCCAGAGGAAGTTTGGCTCTATTCTTTTTTYTCCTTCTCCTTTTTGGTCAACAGATGCAATTACAGACACTTGCTGGATCAAGCTGGGATCTAGGAGGAGAGCTCCCAACAGCAAGAGCTTTGGGCTCTCACGAGACCAAAGGGCAAAGCTGACCCGGTGGCACCGGCCTCTGATCTTCAGATTCTCCTCAGTTTAATCAAAATGCGTGGAAGTATTTTAGCATCTCTATTTGGTTATAAACAAGCTTTCCTTTTTTAAAGGCACGTTTACATAATTGATGCTTGCCTGTTGGTGCCAACCGCTGCCTTTAGYGGGGAGCGAGCAGTCCTACTGTGAAAATGAGCACTGGCATTAAAGCAAGCTGGCAATCACACAGGGGCTGCCCATAGTTTCCTCTGCACAAAATGCATATGCCTGGAACCTGGGGTGCACGTTGCCTATACACTGCCTGTGCTTCCAGGAGTGCTCAGCTGCTGACACCACTACGTGCATTCATTGCCTGAGGTTTTAGTCGCGCGCGTCGGTGAGAAGCTGTCAGGTCAGACTGATAGACTGAGTTTTAAAATGACCAACTATTGCATAAAGAATTGGACTGGGAGCAGAAGCCTGTTTTATGCAACATACCTTTTTATAATATGCATTTTACCAATAGCTTTGGTTGTTACAAGCCTTGCAGGCACAAGGATGTGATCATTTTAAAGGAGCTCAAGTCTACCAATCCACTTGTTAATATTTCTACTGAGAATTTTTGTTCTAAAAATTGAATACATTGAGATGTAAAAATAAAAATACTATCCCTCTCTCCCAGCTTTTCGTGCCAAGGTTTYGCATGCTATAGCATTTGTTCAGTGGGTTCTTGGTGTCAAATGATTGTGCTGATCAAATAGTATATAACGATACAGAGAGGAGAATAATCCTGTTCTAAAGATACACACTTATTTTTAAGAACATCAATGGTAAATCTGCTTTTCCTGCCTGCGTTCTCCCAGTTAATTGCCCATATATTTAAAATGTGCAAAGCTGCTAAACAGCAATTCCATGTTGCTTAGGGGAACGATAATTATAAGACTTTCTGCAACTAATTTCTTAGTGGTTCTGCAAACCCAGTGCTTCTGCAGGAGCAGGTCAGCGAGGAGCAGGCTGCCCTGCATGCAAACAGTGCATTTAAAACTGTATTTGAGGCCAGGACGTTTCCTCCCAGCGAAGTGGCCGCGCTTTGGGCACCGTGGGGTTGCCCGTAGCTGGGTGCTCGTGCAGAGCCGCGCGTTCCTGTGCGGCCACAGCGCGAGCTAAGGCAGATCARGCCCCACGTGCAGCGCCTCGATCCTGCCTTGGAGCCAATTAGCTGGGTGGGAGGCTTCTCCTCCACACCGGCCACCAACATACACAGAGGCTGACCTTGGGCAGGGCACGCTATAAGTCTGATCAAACGAGAGATCTGAACTGCCAATTAAAACAAGGAGAAATGGGGCAACCTTTACCCTGCATCGATTTAAAGGACAGAAGGAAGCAAAACCTTTTTTTTTTTCTCTTCTCTTTTTTGCCTAACAGACAGAAACCTCATTTTTGTTCTTTCCTAGCAAACATCAATACATGCACTGAGGAGGAAAAGCCTGGACTGCTTGCTTAAAAATGCAGGTGCATTGAATTGATGCCTTAGTTTGTTCAGTTATGGTAATTGGGGAGCAATTTTGACACTTGTACAATTATTAGTATTTCTTGAGAGTCTCTGGCTACTTCCTTGGCACCAGCTTATATAAAACTCTCATTTTTAAATATTTTATGTCACCTGTTACAGTACAAAAAMCAAAGTTATCTACAAGACTTATCGCTGGCACGATATTTCCTATTTGAATAGCTTAGCTTTTAAGTCACTGGTCTGTACTTAATCTGATAACTGTGAAGGTTGATAGAGTTAGTGGCAGTCAGTGGAGAATGGCCCATTATGGAGTTATTAAAGCAGACAAGCACATTATCACTACAACAAAAGAACTTTACTGCAGTACCTTCCTCTCGCCACAGTATGTTTGCAACTGCAGCATCAGAAAATTGGGAGAGCCAGAAAATAGCCAGGAAAAACAAACAACAAAAAACAAAGTCAAAATCTTCATTGTAGCAAGTAACACTCATGTTTAAATGAAATGTTTAAGTAGGGACAACTCTAACATTAATCCAGATAAACTAAAATATTGGGAAAGAATGGGAAGGATGGTGTTCATCTTGGAAGTGGAAGATAATTTCACACTAGGAGAAACCTATTTCACTATTTGGTGATGTAAATACAGGCCAAATAAATAATTCATTCGGCTCTTTTTTTCCCCCTAGGCATATAAACATTTGCAAGCTTTGGTTTGCAACTGGCTTTAGGAAGTTTGGTACAGAAAATCAATGAAATTTATTTTCTGAAATAATCATTGCATAAAATATTACTAGGTTTTGGATTCTTTGATAGCTAAAAGCATTATCACATTATTACTCCAGTAAAGACATGGCCCATAGCATATGTCCACCCTKCTGAGCCACAGAAGGCCTCAGTGCTCGAGATGAGCAGATTATCTCCCCCTGCAAAACCCTCTCAAAGCAGAATCCAGTCCTCTGATTGATGGGTAGACAAAACTGCCACTACCCTGAGCAAGAGCCCCACAGACTGCATGCAACGGGCTGAACTACAAAACTGCATCTAAGTCATTATTCCTTAAAGATCGTCAATCTTAAAAAGCCAAATGCATGGAAAATCAGGCTTACGGGTCTTTCTTGCAGAGTCCTCTATGAAGAGTGAAGATATGTCCTCGTCCACTCCCACTTCGTTTTTGGCAATGCAGGTGTAGGCGCCCGTGTCTTCGTACCGAACGCTACTGATATGAAGCTCACTTCCATTGGCTGCAAGAGAGACATCCATAAAGAGTGTTCCTCCCCACCACAACTGCCCCACATCGCCTGGGGACCCACACGTGCAGACAGGTGATGAGCTGCTGTTTGCTTCTTTGCATTAGCACATTGGATTTCTGTGCCACAAATGAACACAGAAATACACCATGTACAAGCAGTAAATGACATTGCCTTTTTTTTTCCTCCTCTTTTTTTTTAGTAGTAAAAGAAGAGTCAGCTTTAGTGAAGGGAAAGATAATAATCACTTCAACACTGCAAACAGTTTGTCATCAAATCAGCAAAAACGCAGGTTCCACACAGTTTCTCCCATCATCTGATCCCTGCAGTGGGAGCACTGCCTAAAGTCAGGCTGAGATTTTGAAAGAACCAACCTAATTGTGCTGGGATTGCCAGCACTGGCTGAAGGCTGTGACACATCTCTGCGTGGCTGCTACTCACAAAATTGCAATTAAATACTGTGCCTATTAATGCGTGTATTGTGTTCCCTGTTCTATGCTTGTACTTCAGCAGTGAGGACCTAGACCAGTAAAGGGCCAAATTTCCTCTACTGGGTGAGGGTCAAAAGTCACCTGCATCCCAGGTGCAATGGGTTTCTCCTCTGATTTGCACCAATTTACACAAGAGGCAAGGCAGGGGAGACAGGCCCGCTCTGCTCTAACAGACTGCTGCTCTGCTCGCAGCAATCAATATTGTATTTCTTGAGGCGTTTGCTGGAGCAGATGAAAAGGAAAAAGGAGGGTTATGCAACACAAACGTGACCGCCCCGGCTCAGCAGCAGCGCTTGTGCTTCGCAGCACCAAATAATCCCGTTAATCCCGAGCTACGACACCGCAATTAGTCGGGACTCTGCTCCTACCTAAGAGCGCGAGCTGCTTGGAGAGCTTGGGCGGGATGTCCACGCCGTTCTTGAGCCAGGAGATGCGGGGATTGGGGATGCCCTCGGCGTGGCACCGCAGGCTGGCCGCCACGCCGGGCTCCTGCGCCTGCGTCTCGGGGTACACGCGGATCACGGGCGGCACTGCGGGAACAAGGAGCAACCTCAGCATCCACCGCGGTGTTCGCGCCCCGCACCGCCTCCCTTCCTTACGGGCGTGAGGGACCTGCAGTTCCCTCCACCGACACCTGACGAGGGTGGTCTAATACGTGCAGCTCTAAAAATAAAAGCATAAATGCCCAAACTTCACTGAATTGAGGCAGGAAAGAATTAGACTCCCCGACCGCTTTCTCCTCTTGAACATATTGCATTATTCAACATTTCAATTATCTAATGGAATGGCTTAAATGTTTACTACCTCTTATTCTGAACAACAACAAAAGGCTTATAGATTACTACTACTTTTTAGCAGGAGGGAAGCTTTCAAGGTTTGACTTATCCTGTTTCAGGAGCTCCCTTCTGAACTATTTAATATGCACAACAGGCAGAACTACTAATTATATCTCAACTTACAACATGTTCATTGATTTTCAATCATGTTGCTTTCACTGCTCAAATCAAGCAGTCTTGACCCATTAACTATTTCTTAATGGTTACTCATATGCATTAAAGAATTTGAAATGGTTTGTTTGGGGGGGAAGAGGGAAAGCATCCTTCCTATTTCACAATATCTGTATGGGATAGCTTGAATAATTACACTCATTAGCATACACTTTACAGCTTTCTTTCCATTTCTATTTTTATTCTTTCACAAGCCTTACAAGAGAGATATATTTTACTTCTGTCTCACCCACCAGCTGCTTAAAAAAGCATCAAGCCATCAGTGCTGGTTAATACTTGGAATGAAACCAGCCATGACAGAAAGCCCTCAAGTCGCCTTGTGTTTTTTTTTTTTTTTTTTGATAGCTTTTAAGAGAGAGATTGTTTGAATGCAACCTGAGACAAAATGCCTAGGGATAATTCGTAATAAAAAAAAAGGGGGGACTTTTAGCAAAAACATGTCTTTAAATTGCACACTTGCATTGGTCATGGGATATTTTGCCTCATTCTATGTTAGTCTGATTCTCAGAAACCCACATATTTCACTAGCAGAACCAAAACCACAGCAGATTTGTATTGCAAAGGGTAGCTCCTAGATTCTGAACTGATGTTCTTGATGAGAATTAGCTTAACTTGTTTTATATAATTCATTGCACGGGTTAATTATTGCATGCAACTGCCCTGTGACAACAGCAAAAGACTTTTTTTTTTTTTTTTTAAATTGCCCTTGCTACAAGTTAATACATTTCAACTAAGCACGTTATACTTAACACTTGCAAGATTTCAGATCCCGGCTTTGGAATACATGCATTATCCTTTGCTATTTCCCTTGGTGAACATTCATCATTGCTAACCATTACTATGGCCACAGCCAAAAGCAATACAAAAATGCCATTACCTTAAGCAAGGCAGGAAAAAAAGGCAGCATTCGAACAAGGAAGAGATTAGGTAGGTTGCCCACAGCTGCACATCCAGTAGCGCCTCACTTGCAATGAGAGTTGTAGCTCATTGCAATGAAGTAGCTCATAAGGGGAACAGGAGGCAGCATCAAGCCCCAAAAACATATTTGCTGCTAGAGGTCCTGCACACTTCTGGGCTTATTTAATCTGTATTTCAGCTGCTTTAATCCTTGCATTTATGACCTGAAAGGAATTTGAAGCCTTCTATCTTTTCCCTTGAAAAGCCACAGGAACAAAACATGACAGCATTTAAAGCATCCCCGATATTGGGAAGTTTGTCCTATTGGCTTCTTATCATTGGGCTGACGATCACATGGCTTTTTTAAACTATATCCAAGGAATACAGCATGTTTTCCAGAGAGCTCAAACCAAGGAAAATGATGCCTTCCACTCAGCAGTCTCTCAATTCGCAAGCTATCGGTTCTCATAGTCGATTACAATTTTATGAGATCCTTTATTCTCAGCAACTTTTTTTCCTTGCAAATGATAAATTGCTATTCTTCCCTAYACTGTGAGCATGCTGTACACCTTTTTCAAGCAATATTTCTACCTGTTCCTGGTGACTCTTTGCTTCTCGACCCTGCGYTGCCTTTCCAACCTGTATTCTTTCAAACACAAAGGGTTGAGCRTACAAAAATACCAACTCAAATTTTACCTCTGCTGTGGTAAGTTTGACGATGACAAGCCAAACATTGCCACAAATGCCACCTCAGTGCTGTATTTCACATGTGTTTCAAGGTTCTTGCCCAGCAGACAGGAGCCAATGTACATTTGTGTGTTGTGGTCCTCGTATCTTCTGCCTAAAGCATCTGCATTTTGGCTGGTCTGAAGGCAGCCTCTGCACCTGGCTGTTACTTGTGGTGTTCCCTAACATCTAGAAGCTCCAGCAAGCCCAGTGGCTATTGCACAGACACGACCACATCCCAGAGGAGGAAAACTTCCAGTTTTTCCTGAAGCTGGGCTCAAAGCATAAAACTTACGGAGAAGTTAATTTTCCACCTAATCGATGAACTATTACAGACCAGTGCTAGGCTCCAAAGAGACAAAGGAGAAGGTCTCTAATAGCATTAGAAACCGTATCAGATGAAACGTTTCTGAGGGAGCATACAGAACTAGGATCCAATTCTTTTCAGTACAGAAAGGCAGTAAGGAAGAGAACATTGTGTACACTGGGCTGACAGGCTTCAGATGGGACTAAAAGGGCTCTCTACAAGGAGGCACCAACTTCAAAAGCCACTGAATTATCTGAAATGCAGTTGAAAAGCATTTCCCCCCACTCAGTTCTTCCTCATTCGCTTCTGATTTTATTTCTTAAAATATCTAATCGCTTTCCTAGAATAAAACCTGTCTTTTGGAGTTTGCTAGGCAGTAGCCTCACTGCAGAAGATGGCTGAGAGGATGGGCTCCAAGCTCTGCCCTTAGTCGGTGCTGCCACACTGCCTTAAAATCTTAGTCCAATACAGAAAATAAAAAACAAGCCACATTTGAAGCATAGCTTTGCATTTGATGCAAGYAGACATGGAGAGCCCCCGGCACGGCGCGGAGCCGCCGAGCTCCACCTTGGCTTCCAGCAGCTCCTTCCTGCCGCTCGTGTCAGGGCCAATCTGCCAGCTTGTCCTGCCCTGCCTTCATTTGGTAGCTCACCAGGAAAGCAAGAGCCATTTCCCCAGGAAAGTGGCCAGATCAGGGACGGGGCAGAGCGCCAGGCACTCTGCCCGTGGCCAAGACCCGCTTCTGCAGAGCCCAATGGCTCGCACGGGGATATCAAGACAACTCTGCTGGCCCTACAGCATTTTCTAGCAAGCCAGGGTTTTTCTGCAATACTTACCGACTACATAGCAACATAAGAAAGCCAACAAGAATGATATATTCTGTGAAACCCAAGCAACAGACACAAGGGCACGAACCAGCCCCTGCACATGCTGTATTCAGCTCTGGGCACTTGGGTTTTAATTTCCAACCTTTGGGCCTTCAGGTCTCTGTGATGAGAAAGCCCACGCCTTGGCTGCCACCTCAACTCCACTCGGGCTCATAATACATCACATAATATACACGGGATTAAGTTGTTAACTTGCTTGTGCTTTGGCTGCCATTCATCAAACAAACAGCACTTGGAGGAAGGAAACCTATTTTCCCAGCTGCAGCACACGCAATCGAGTTAGCCAGATTGCTGAGACTTTGCCATTTACTATCTCAAAAAGATGACAAATTGTGATGTGRAAACATTAGATCAGTTTTCACTGCAATGAGCTGGGTGCCTGCACTTTCCCCTGGGCCCTTGCCATGGTGGGGAGCACCTGCAAGGCTACATACTCAAAACCATGCACACCAGAGCTGAGGTTGGATAAAGTATTTGGAGGTATTTTTCTAATCAAGAACCTGCAATGCTGGTGGGGTTGGTTTATACAAGCCAGCGTTTGCAGTTGGACAGGTATCCCCAGAGCTCTCTACGGAATTTTCCCTCCAAATGCCATTTTTTGCCCAGGCAAAAAGCAAGACTTCAAGAAAAGAGTGCCAGCTTGGGGCMCTTTGCATCCTCTTTGCATGGAAGCAATCCGTGGTGCTGGGATACAACTCTGGCAAACCACTCACACGGACCAGTGTGGTCCCTCCCTAGGGAACTCGGCTGGATGGGGCTGCTGGACCATATCCTGTGTGATACCGTGAACTTTTGGAAAGTTGAAGTCATTTAAGCAACAATTAAGGAGCCACCAGCCTACAAGAGGCTCCAAAACCCCCTTCACTCTGCAGAAACTGCACCGATGGCTCGGTTTAAGGTCAGGCTCTGCCTAGGCTTGGACGGCTATACATCCACCTCCCATGGAAGCTGCCTTTCCTGTCGACTGCCCCCGCCTGCTGCTTTGGCTCCTGCAGCGYGAGCGGGGCTGGGCACGCAGCTGGGCTTGGGGACACGTTTGCAGCGRGTGGTCGCACATTTACTAACCATTCACCTGCAGGACGTGGGTCTGACACAGCTCGTCGTAGCCGTAGGCATGGCAGGTGTAATTGCCCATGTGAATGGTCGTTACCTTGGCGATGTAGAGGGAATCGTCCTCTCCAAAATCCTGCGAGCAACAAAAAGACAGGAAAGAGGCCTTATTATTTCAGGAAAAAAAAAAAAAACACAAAACAAAACAAAACCCTTAAGCACCACGCAAAAGCAAGCTGCGTTTTGCGCGGTTATGATCGCCTCCCAGCTTGGGAACACAGCTTGAATGTCGAGCAGCAAGTTTTAAAGTTCATAAATCACCATGCAGGAGAAAATGAGCAGCAATTTAAGAGTAAGGCAAAGCAACTCATCTGAGAATATGAACTTTTCTGCTGGCTGTTAACAAGGTGCTCTTTGCACATAAAAAGATAGCAATCTCCTGCTACCTAATTTATAGGGAAATTTAATATCTACCTGCTAACTTGAGATGTATAAAATACTAACTTCTGGGTGGGTTACAGTTTCCTTCATCTATACCAGTTTTTATAAAAGACAGAGTAGCCCCCGGGGCTGATGAGAAAGAACTGAACACGCCTGTCAGTTATGTCAAAAAAATCTAGATGGGAGACAGGAGACAAGGGAAAAAAACATTTTCTTTAAGAAAAGACCTTCAAATCAGCATGTTTTGATTTGTGCTATTACTACCCCACACCTGCTCTCACTTTACTTCTATTTTTGATTGTGGATGGGGGAGAATATAAGTTTTCAGCAGTTCTGGCACTTGAACATTTTGCGCAAAGGCTCAAGATTTTATTTCAAGTAAACGAAACCATTGCACCAACCACTATACAGAGGAGCTTCTCTTGTTATGCCACGAGCATTCAGACAGCAGCAGCTCCAAAACGTTTATGTTTTTACGCAGACCCAAAAGGATACACTTAAACTACAGTTAATGAGTTTGAAGAATGATTTTGCTTTAATTAGTGCCACACGTGAAGCATACTAAATGAACCCCTTCACAGGATTTCAGCAGCAAAGCACAGTGAAATTCAACTTAAGATCCTGCCTGAACAGTTCAGGACAGCGGGATGAGTGTGACTGGCTGGGACAGCGAGGTTTGTCTGCTAGCAAAACCCAAGGAGCTCTTCCTATTTGCACTGTGGGCACTGGTAAGGGCTGAATGCAAAAAGGCTCTACACCAAGCTGTATCTCTTACCATCCTTCTCCCTTTTCCAGGGCCATAAGGAATGAAAGGAAAGGGCAATGCCCTGGGGCTCTCCGCAGCTGCAAACCCACTGTGAGGCTCTTACAGCACAAAATAATTGAACATGTAAGGATAGAGAGCCTGAAGGAGGAACCCAGATCTGCTGGTTGGAACTCAAGAACTTCCTTCTCATTTATTTTTTGATGGATGGCAGCCAGGCACATGGATGCCTTACACCATTCCTTTCAACAGCCCCAGGGCACGTGCAGGAGCTACCACCACTCAGGGTATTACTGGTGACCCAGAAACTGTGAGCAAGAGCTGTTCCATCATGGGCTGGACCACTTTTGAGACAAGCACTCTTGTCTAAAGACAAGAGGAGATACCAAAAGCCAAAGAGCTTCCAGATAGGACCAACAGGCTCATTCTTCCCAGAGAGGGGACCTTGATCAGAGAGGGGACAGAAGCACCTGTAGCCACCACAGTTCTGCTATCCACGACCCTCCCACATGCACTTCTGCTCTGACAGACCTCCTTGCTTGCCCTCTCAGGTTTTTGTTGCATTTCACATGTTTTTAAGCTGTTCRACCTGCTTAATATTGGCATGTTCCAGCCAGGCTGAGGTCCTTGGGACTTCTGGCCCTGACAGCAGCACAAAAATTGACCAAATATTGGACTCCACATTGCTCAGCTCTRAACAAGGTTGCAGTTTAGGAGCTAATCCAATAGACTGAGACTTGGTAAGGAAAAGTATGAGCATACACAGAACCATGCAGAGCAAGAATAAATCCTTAGATGTCCTCACAACTCATCCATCATCAAAAATATTCTCACCATCATGTCCATCAGGCAGATTCAGCACCTAGACAATGAAATAAGCTGGATAAACCACCTCATGTGTTATTACAAACACCTACTCAAATCCTTCTGTTTTAAGGATTTGCCTGTTTTCTGGTAGCTAACCGTTTCCTGCTGGAAAGCAAAGATGCATGAGTAACTGCAAATAGAAGAGATACCAACCTTGAAAAAACAAGCGTTTTGCACAGGATGGAAAAAATGCTCATAGCGAAGGGTACTTAATAACAGTTTTGAAAGTTAATCTCCATGCAACTCAGATTGAATTTAGATCAATAAAACCAAGATAGCTACTTTTATGGAATGATTTATACAGAGTTACAGAAAATAGGACAATAAAATCTTCTCCGTTTTCACTGTGTTGCATCCTATAAGATTTCAGAAAAGTTTTATCAATGCTTGGTTTGTGCTCTGTAATTGTCTTTTTATGGATGATCTGTTTTTTTTTTTAATGCATACAAATGTATTAATATWAGCAGAGAGCCTTATAGAAAGAAACAGATGCAAGATTATAGYATGATTCTCTTCTTCTGAAATACATTTTTCTTCGAAAGCTTTTTTTATTGGTAAAAGCATGGTTTATGACTTTTTAAAACTATTTTCTGAATTCTAGAGCTTCAAGAAGGTAATCAAATCTGCAACCAAACGGTGGTAGCACCTTATCATTAGTGTGGGGCACATAAGGAACACATGTTGCCTGTACAAGGACGCACACACAAAGCGCAAGTTCACCTAAGAACAGCATTAGAGGCTGAGGAAGGAAAGAGGGATTAGTAAATGTAAGTTCAGTACTGAACTTTTACTACAAAGAGATGTGTGAGTTTTGTAACAAAATTAAAATAAACACAACAGTCACTGAGGTCTTTAATCACAATTTATGGTTTCTCCCAATTTTTTCCCTGTGGATATAATTAGTACACAAAGATTTCACTGTTAGATTCATATATATATATATATATGGTATTTTCCACAGAAACACCTTCTGTGTGTATTTTGTACAAGCAAATTTAGAAGAGTTACAAAAGCCCAACCTCGAGACCATCAGAAGATGGAATGTCTGGTTGGCACTGGAGTCCTGGTTGACACCAAGTTAACCATGAGTGAGCAGTGTGCCCTSGTGGCCAAGAAGGCCAATGGGATCCTGTCTGCATCAGGAGGAGTGTTGCCAGCAGGTCAAGGGAGGTGATTCTGCCCCTCTCCTCAGCTCTGGTGAGGCCGCACCTGGAGTACTGTGTGCAGTTCTGGGCACCCCAGTATAGGAGGGACGTGGAGCTTCTGGAGAGGGTCCAGAGAAGGGCAACCAGGATGATTAAGGGAATGGAACATCTCTTGTACGAGGAGAGGCTGAGTGAGCTGGGCCTGTTTTCTCTGGAGAAGAGACGGCTCAGAGGGGATATGATTAATATGTATAAGTTCAGGAAGGGAGAATGCAGGGAGGAAGGGGACAGGCTGTTCTCACTGGTGGCCAGTGACAGGACGAGAGGTAATGGCCACAAGCTGAAGCATAAGAAGTTCCGTCTCCAGGTGAGGAGCAACTTCTTYACTGTKAGGGTGACAGAGCAGTGGAACAGGCTGCCCAGGGAGGTTGTGGAGTCTCCTACTCTGGAGGTCTTCAAAACCCGCCTGGATGCCACCCTGTGCCACATGCTCTAGGTGTGCCTGCTTGAGCAGGAAGGTTGGACTAGATGATCTGTAGAGGTCCCTTCCAACCTTAAATATTCTGTGAATCTGTCTTCAGTTCCTCAGCAGCCTGTGCCATGGGTCCAAGACCCTTCTGTCCTCCAGGCGCAGCACAAACTCAGGTTGCTCCCAGGTGCCTTCCCTGCTGTTACCCCTGCACTAACAGGGCTACAAATCATTAATGGGGAGCAGCTTAGCTACCATTTCAGGTTGCTGGAAAATGGTCTTCTGTGGTTTTATTGAGCAGAGCACAAGCACAGGTCCACAAGGATCCATGTCCTGTCAAAAATGGTGCTTCACACAAGCAAGAGCTCCTCAAACAAGCAAGGCTCAGGAATTCCTCAACACAAAGGGATTTTGGAGCGAGGGCTGAGCTCACTGCCAGCTCCAGGGTCTGTATCTGTCCATCCCCACAAATGCACATGGCAGCTTCCTTGGGAAGAGGGAGGCAGGCAGGTCAAACACCTGAGGAAGACAAGAGGAACATTTCTGTATGCTCCGTTTTAGAAGGCCTGGCTTGTAAAGCCGCCTTCCCAAGCCACTGTGAAGCAGTCTGAGGGAAGAGTAAGAATCTACGAAATAGTGATATGATTCTTTTCTCCCTAAAAATACCACAGCTTTGAAGAACAGCCTCAGAGGCTGCCTGGGAGCAGCAGCGAGTGCTGTGCATCCCGCTGGGAGCTGGGAACATCCTATTCCCAGCCCCGGAGGAACGAATGACATTAGGCTTCAAAGACCAGACAAGCTTAAGCCGAGCTAACCTAGCGGCAGCACCGGCTCCTGCCTGGCCAGGTACAGCAAGAAGAAMAAGTCCACCTCTGAAGGGAGATGAAGGAAGATATTTCTGCAACAAGCTCGGCACTGAAAGCAGCAGCTCAATAAACCCACTCCTAACCACGAGGCACTGGAACAAGTCCCACGAGAGAGGAAGAGACATCAAGGGCAGAGCAAAAAGTTACTTCTGGAGCATGGTTTGCTCCATCGCAAATGGTTATCACTGGCCATCAAACTTTAGAAGGCAAAAAATATTGACCTAATGAAAATACACAAGYAAAACACAGAAAATACTCCAACACCTACAAATAGATGAGACTGTATCAAAGAGGCCAGAAAAGGCCCCTAAAGCTCATCGCCTCCACTTCATGGATTTCATCCTRAAATAGTGTGATACATTCCGGCAGTTAGAAAAAAATTACAAGCACAGCTTGCTGAAACTTCTCCTAATTGATAAGGGCAGCGAGTGACAGAGGATACAGTGACTTTGCCAGCAGTTCACCTCACCTTCCCGCTCCCTTTCTGGATTAGGGTTCCCTGCCTTTCCTGAGCTTCTCTCATGTCTTACAGTTACCCTTCAAACAAAGGGCTGATGAAGCGATCTCAGAACATATTTGAACTTT